ATTAAATTATTAATATATATTGTAATAATAAAAAATAAATTTTTTTATTAATTTGTATTACTAATTTTATACCTCTATTATTTAACAATATGTTTCAAGAAGTTTGACATTTTAAAATTCATTCTTTATTTATGATCGATGTTGTCTTTTTTATCTGTGTTTTATACGATTTTATGATTTGTTTATAGTATGTATATTTTTTGTTGCAACTCGAATGACCGAATTCACTTTATGGGGATAGACAGTCGTGTATGAAACACATAAATATAAATTGTTATCTTAACTTGTTAATGCTACATGTTAATGTGTTAACTTGTTAATGTTACATCAATATTAGGAGGTAAATGGGCCAAAACTGCATTCTAATTTTACAAATTCCTTCAAATGCACGCACAATTATTTAATAAAAAGAAATTCGTTACTCGTTCAAATTTGTACAACAATTATTATATCAAAATTATACTCCAATATTTCTGATGGATCTTCAGAGAACAATTTCTAACATATTTAGCGAAACTACCCTATGCACAAGTATCTCGCAAATGAAGTTTTGTCAACTGTATTAATGATTAGTGTCTCAGTTAGGCTCAGTAACGTATGTAGGAAAGGCCTTGAAGAGTTGTTTCTTTCTTGAACGTATTTGCGAATGTGTATAGTGGGAAATGAATTTCAGTGATTCTGTGTCACGTTCGGCTCAAATGTAAACGTGCTTATAACAAGGTGACCACAATGGTATCTTTGCAAGCATTCGACACCGCCATAAATTCAATTGGCTTAGAAACTTTCAGACGAATAACGCACATAGCGATTAAAACATTTTTCTAGAGGTAATTCGAAAGATTGATTATTCAGTAATTAAGTAACTCCGCCTTGTTTGTGAAGTTGATGACAGTGCAGAGTAAGAAACAAACTTGAACATCGTTGACCATTTATTATACGCCGAGGAACATTTTTCATTCTATTTAAATTCTAGAGAAGTCATTAAAATAGCATTCCATGAATATGTTTGCAATATCCATTACACATACGACGATATCGAATCCTTGAGAACCGTAAACAGAAGTTGATGTGTGAAATAAATACATCATGCAGAGATGTGTGGATTTCTTCAGAAATGTGCGGTAATAGTTTTCCTTCTTATTAAAGAAGTTTCTTGTTTATCATTACACCTTAGATCCTTGTATCAACTACAAAAATGTCTGTTTACTATTTGAGCACCGAATAATACATTTTAGTTTCTTGATATGTGTTTTGATGATTTAAAAATATTCATATTTAACTTTGAATTCGGTATTCAAGACTATTTCACGGTCATTATGCATCCTATAATACAATTTAATGTTAAAAAATATATTGTTTGAAATATTATGCAGTTTCGTAATAATTTATACACAACATCCATAACACTCATTTTGACGAACAAACGAATTTCATTTCATGTTTTCGATTTCATTTGGCTCGTGTATACAATCATCATTAATAGCGCAAATAGATGAAGTTACACGTAATAAAATTGACGAAATTGTTGTCAGATAACGACGTTTATGCAATGCACATCAAATTCTGAGGCTTTCGTATTATTTTATTTTGCACGCATGTATTTATATCAGATAATTTGTATTTATTTATTTCATGAGTTCTATTAATATCATGTTGATAATGCAAGTATTGTTCGGAGTCGTTTTGTGTGAAACACGTTATTAAAAGATTCATACAGACACCTGTGGAAGAGATATATTAAAATAAGAATACTTGTGATATTTTATATTATGTGAGAATTATATGTATATGAAGTACTATGTACTTTGTGAGACAGATTTCGACGGTTGTAATTGCTATTTTGAGATCATAATATTTTTCTAGCATTTGTCTTAAAAATTAGTACAGATCATGAATATTTTACGAATCTTTCTATTTTACAATCCAATGAGACCGCACGATTTAAGGGGACAGTTTCTTTTTTTAATGCAAAGATTATAGTAATTTTTGCGATTCTATTTTAAATTGTGAAGCAGTTCGTTCTGAAACTTCTAGGATAGCTTATCTCATATTCCGGGATCATGTGCAAAATTTGTCGTTTATATGCAAATCATAAACATGCAATAAAAATGATTTTACCTACATAAATATTTACGCAAGGACTCATCATCAAAGATGCGAGCTAACATTTCGTAGCCTTTACTTTTTTACAAAAACAAAAAAGCAAACGCTACCCTTAATAGATGGGTGTTCTTCTTATATTGGGGATAATCCCAAAAAACTTCAAGAAAATACAACATGCGGAAAATACTGATGATCTGATTGAGAATTCACGATTCTGGCCAGAAGTCTTCATTTATGCAAAAGACTGTTTAATTTAATTTTATTGTATATATTTTCGATCCATCGACAGTTTTAATTTTCTCCACGTTTGCGCTCTTTCCTATGGGATATAGATCTGGACTATTTACTCACCATTTTTAATGGTTTTGGCCCCATTAGTCTCAATAATAACATACTCTTTTGGTTTTTTAATGTTCTTCGTTACAGGTATAAAATGATAATGAAATATTAAAATAAAATTCTTGGAATGTTTTCACAGCTGTTACGATGCCACAATTCAGTGGCGGTCCGGTGGAATTTATGACCTGCGATGACATTGAGTACAAAAGAGACGATGGTTGGTTTCTATCCTACACAAAGATAGCTGCAATTATTGTGGTTTTCGTAATTGGTATCGTTGCTGCCGGTTTCCTCGGATGGTACATAAATTCTTTACCAAAGAAAAAGGTAAATATATTGTTTAAGACTAGATATACTAAATTATCAATTAAAAACGTCACTATTTAACGAGCGATTTGTGAATAACACCAAGCACACAAATTGTGAATGTAAAAAATTGCATTTTTAATATTAATTTAATATTGATCTTGACATTGTATAGTGACATTCCTTTAATTCAAACTGTGATAAAATGGATTTGGTATCTATTATCAGTAATTAGAAATGACTCGATAATCCTTTTTTGTCACTCTAGATCCTTTGATATAACTTTTTGTCTTAGATACTACAATACGAGTCCCAATTATTTCTTAAAGAAATGATTTATTATCATTATAAATATGATTAAATGAGTCATTAACTTAATACTTATGCATTTTTCGGTTAACAAAATGTCTAGCTGATAGATTACACACATTGCAAGTATAGTATTTTTAATGCTTGTGCACTATTCAAGAAATGTAGACATTTATATTCTAAATAGTGCATGAGAGTTAAATAATGATATTTTCGTAAAATATTTAGCATTAAAATAATTCAATATATATAATTAAAATATTTTAAATCATTATAATTAAATAAATATTTTAAATTACTGGATTCAGAATATGTATATTAATCTACTGAATCAAAAGTTGCATTTAAGTTAATCTAACGATGATTTGGTTTAACATATTCAGTGCTCCCGACAGTCACTTATGGATGACGTTAATCATTGTTTGAATTAAAAAATTCATTTTTGCTATATGTTTGCACAAATTGAATTTGACTAGGATTTCTGGAATGCTAAAGAGTTAAAATACTATTCACTGTGACAAATTTTAACTTTTTAGTTGCTGTTCAAATAATTAAATCTGCTTTATGTTTAAAATTTGACACTCAGCGTTTTAACACAATTATGTATTGTATTGAAATCATTATTGCAGCCTTACGACTCGATCGATTTGCTTAACGATGAAATCGAGGAACCGAGTATTATTCCAGAGACTCTAACCTCTCCTTTCATTCGTCCGTTGAAATATCGTCTACAATTAATGCCAATGATTAACGTAAACAGCGTGTCGTGGCTGAGGGGTACTGTAGTTATCGAGTTTCAAGTAAACGACAGGACTGATTTAACTAAGCTGTCTTTAAACGCGAAGAACATCACGGTAAATGGCTATAAACTGTCGTTGATGGAGCAGCGGGACGACAAAACACGATCAAAAAAGAGGCGACGAAGGAAAGGTAACAAAGAGGATAACTGTTAAATTCATAGGAAGAAAACAATGGGTGTTAATTAAAATTGTTTAAGCAATTCAGTTTTTAATATTCTCGCAAAACGTAAGTTGAATATAGACTTAATGCATCAACAATACAAACAAATGTTTAAATATTAATAACGAGAATAGTTTGCGAATTTCACTAAATGTTTTTTATCGAGTTGAGAAGAATGAATATTCCATGCACAATATTAAATCCTATCAATGGGTTTACGAAATATTACATTCGATAAAGGTGAAAAGAAAGATAAACTATTATCACTTTATTGTAGTAGCAGATAAAAATATTTCCATTTACATAGCTTATTTTACAAATCTATCTTATTTTTAAATAATTTGTTACGACGTGTACGAAACAATTTAAACATTTCTTTCACAATGTTAATTTAAGTTATTACTTTTCGTACATTAAGGTCATACAAATTATAACAGTTTTGTGAAACAATTGGCTCGAACAATTTGTTTATACAATTGACTTGAACAATATGATTAAAATCAATATCATGCAACGACGTCAAACCAGTTACATTGTTCACAGTTACTCGTGACACTCATTCCGATAAGAACGACATAGTTTTATCAACAACGGCGACCGAAACCATTCCGCATGAACAAAACGAAAACCATTCGTCTGAAAATTTGACATCCGTTGAAGGATCTACAGCATCCGTAATAAATGACAACGTTACTAACACAAATCAGTCTAATGTTATAAACTCGTATCCTGATATCTCAGTAGCATCCCTATCAGATATAGAAATTACAGAATATTTAATTGACGACAATAAAGAAATTCACACGATTTCCTTGGGAAAACCAATTCAAGATGGAATTTATTTGATGAATATCGATTATGAGGTCCAGGTCGATGAAAGTGCGTTTTTTATTTCAAATTATACTTCTGAGCAGGAACAGTAAGTATTAAACTTTTACTAATTTTAAATTCAGCTATAATTATAATACTTTTAGTAAGGAATAATCATACATAGCAGTCTTTGCTTTAAACAACAGTTATTAAAGATAATTGGCAACACAATTAACATATTTATATCGTCGACTAATTCTCTATTATTAAATTAACTTAACTATTAATTTTATTAAGTATTATTTTTTTTAATATTACCTTTAATTGTATGAGTTTGAAGTTGTTAATTTGTACCTTCAATTTTGTGTTCTTTTAATCGTTTGATATGCCACGGAGAATATTTCGAAACTGTAAAAATAATTTTTGATGTCTTGCTAAAGGTGGTTGATGGGGACCAAGTTAAAACGGTTTGGAGCCAAGTATCTTTTGCCAGTTTTCGATGATTCGGATCAAAAAGTTGTTTTCTCCGTATCTGTGATACATCCGAAGCAAATATTTGTCCTTTCCAATATGCCTTTGAGAACTTCGAAGGATACGTAAGTAATTCATATTTTTTCATAGATAAGACAAAGAAGATAATTTTAATATTAATACTAGCTAAATTCAGTTTCAATTTTAATATTAATACTAGCTAAATTCAGTTTCAGTTTTCATATTTATAGATAAATTCAGTTTTATTTATAATATCAACAGTTAAATTCGGTTTCAATCTTCATAGAATTTTCTACTTAATTGATTTCAAAGAAATTAGTAAATTATTGATTAAATATAACCTTGTATTAAAAAGATGATGAAATGCTGAAGTAATCAATTTTTCTATCCAAACAAAAGAATCACACAAAACTTGACAACTTCAAAATATTTTCAAAATCTTATTTTTTATCTATGCATCTTATTTTGTATCTTGTAGACAATTTTACTTCGCATCTATTCCTAAATGATGTACAAATTTTATTAAAATAATAATTATAGTCGAAGTTGATACTTCTTAAATTGTCCAGAAAACATAAAATTCATATGTAATAGTTAGACTGCAGATTTTATGTATTTATGATAAAAAAGGTTGGGTGTAATTTGAAGCAGTAAAAACATTGAAAGAATTTCAGAGTGCCAATGTATTAAACCGATTTTATTGTAATTAGTTAACAAAGAAGAAAACACGCGGTTTCTATTTCTTAAAAACGATATGGGGCAATTTTTATTTTGCATAAATATCCGCATAAATTTACATAAATATCTAGATATAAGAAAAGTTTCTGAATGTAGTATACAGCATTGACTGAATATCGCGACGTTAATGAGCTGGATTAGATCAATACAATCAATTTTATTTTCAACCTTGTTTATCTTGTATGGCCGTGTTTTAGCTGTCAGGTCCATTTTGAACATATTTGACAATTTTTTGGGTTCACGATATTTTTACTTTAAGCGAGAATGCAACCATAATGATCAATACGAATCTCTATTTTTAATATCATACGTCGTTCTCTGCTGTAAAATAATATAGCATGACAATTCATAAGAGAAATAATATTTTCAATATTTTTATAACTACTTATTATTTTTGCTTGAAGCGAGGATTCAACAATGGTAGTTGACGCGTTTAACGAGTCTCCACCACTCTCGCCTCACAATTTAGCATTTCTGATGGGCCACATTGAGACTATGGGCGCGACATTCATAGCAGACACGAACGTAGTCGCAACATTCTGGAGCGATCCGAAAAGACGCTCACAAGGGATTTACCTGTTCGACAAACTCGAGCCAGCTGTCATGAACCTGATCGACGTGTTCCCGATACCTTATACCCTGCCCAAGTTGGACCTAGTCGCCTTGCCACCAGGGATCGACGATAGCATTGCTAGTCCGGGATTAATCGCAGTCAAGTAAGAGTTATCGATTCTTCTATGAATTATTTTATTGCATTTAACAACGATTGACGAAACGTGTTTACACATGTATTTCAAATTAATATTTGTGTTGTTTACAAATTTTGAACAGTAACAAAATCCCCAAAATGTATTAGATGCTTTATTTATTTAAAATGTTTCGTAAATTCACGTGAAAATAAGCACTTTTGTTTTGAAATTTTACTAATGTCTCGCTATTGTTTCTTTTTGAGTTGAGAAAGTCAACGAGACATTATCAAAAATTATAAATGATTTAATAACTAGCCAATTCAATAGAAATATTCATATTATAGTACAACTCTGTTAAAGCAACAGAAAAGCTTAGTAACCTTAGAGTGGTGACGTACGTCAAATTGATCCTGTATCAATAATGATAACTTGATGTCAGAACAACGCTGATTAATATGGAAAAAAGCTATGAAGTATATTTTTTACTCCTATGACAGTACTACTTATTAACCTTTCAGAGTTCAATGTTTGAAAACGGTTAAAATCAGATTTTTTCAGTGAATTAGTTGATTCTTTCTCGAATCATTTAAGTTGCAAATACATTTTCATTAATATGTTGATAGACAAAGTTATATGGTGCTATTCAAAATTATGATGAAATCTGAAGTATAGAGGTAAATTTCGCTGTGCAGTTTCGGGCTGTACTATCGCAACTAAATGTAGACTGAAAGTGTCGGACTTATAATTACTCGGAGGCTTATCTACTGCGGAGTATTTCATGTGTCTATAATCTAAATGGCAATTTCCATGAATTTTTTATGTATCTACAGTACTATACAGTTTCAAAGTACAATGTAAGATGAAACACAGGATGAGGCTTTCGCAATTATGTAGAATTCATTACGCTACCTGAACTGGTTATATCTCGAATTTGGTTGGAGACTGGGAAAGATTCAACAGCAAAGTTCATTTCCTTATGACTTCAATTTTCACATAAACGCAACGATTCACGTAAATTTGAACGTATTTATATTATTACAACCGCAAAGACTACCAAAGACACTTGCCATAAGACTGTATTTTATGTAACAATCTACACGAAACAGTACTGGGCACAAAGATAGAGATCAACAATTTGTAAAGATTTACATAATGACCGATGTATAAACTTTATTTCATGCGATAAAAGCGGTATCGTTTCCGTTTGGATAATTAGTTGTTACTCGGAAACAAATAAACAGTGACACACACACACACCCAGTTTTCATCATTAAAATAATTCCATAAAAATAAATCATTAAAAGTTTGAAGTATCTGACGCATATATGTATATGTGTATAAAAGTATGAATACCACACAAAGTATAATAATAGACAGTGCAATTACATCTTTTTAGGAGCATCGCTGCATTTATGGAGAAATTCGAGTAGTAAAGAAATCGACTTTCTTACACATTCAAGTTGTTCCAGCACCTTGTAAAAGGAAAATCTGTTAAAAATATTTTAATTTTTAATCTACATCTTTAAATTAAATCTTTTAAGATAGTTTTCATTTCATATAAAGAATTAAAAATATTTCCCTATTTTACGACGATGTCAATTTCTAATCTAACAGAATATTATTTGTAGTTACAGAAAAATTTATCGCGACATAATAAATGGAATCGAATGTTCTAATTTTTATTAACACGTTCGTTATAAATATTACCTATGTACACATTGTTATTTAAAATTATAACTCATAGCATAATGTACAAGATACCTATAACTTTTGTTTTCTTTGTTAACGTGCAACGTGACTTCAATGGACATAAAGATGTTCGTTTAAAAAAGAAAACATCCAACTTCGGTATTTCCAACAAATAATACATACCATGCGATCGTAGAATCTAAACAGCGCAAGCATGAACAGTTTCGATTCCTGCGAGATCATCAGATCATAAAAGAATACAATGAAATCGGTGTTTCAGATAAAGATCTCCAATAAGGGTTGAACCTCTCCATATTCGAAGAATGAAATATCCGAAGATTTTATTTTCCTGACAAGGGTATGATCCTACATGAAGAAATAAGTCGAAAAAAGGAGTAACACATTTTTTCATTTAAGACTACGTCTTCGTAAAAAAATGAATATGATGAAAAGTAGAATTGGCATATGATGGCCGGATAGATTTTCAACCTATCTTTTCTCGAAAATAGTGTTTTAAATGAGAAAATGTTATCTTTTTTTTCGACTTATTTTTGCATGTAGAATCAATCCCAGTCCGGTTGTGCCACGATTCTTCACCCACCCTGTATAACTAAATTAATCTTTAAGGCAGTCAACATTCTTTGTCAATGAAAAATCGTCAGTGGTCACGAAAACTGGCGCTTTGCAGTCTCTTGTGAACTTATTCGGGCAACAATTGCTCGATGAATTTATGAACGTGAATCGAACGGACGCGTGGCTTTTCAAGGGTTCACTGTTGTATTTCCAACACTTAATCATTCCAAAGGCAAGTGATTAAATTCATTTCTGATTATATTAATTAAAATAAAATCGTGAAATCGTGAATTACTTAAAGGAAATAAGTCTCTTTTATTTCTGCAATTATGTCTTATTTTACTTAATTTCATAAATAATTTATATGACGATATTACACGATCATACTTTTCGTGCACTTCAAATGGTTACTTATAATTGTAGTTAGTATACCGCGGATCTTTATGCAAAATGATGTAACTTACAAGTATCGTTCTTTTTGTAATAACTGCATTAAGTTAAAAATAGCATAATGATTTCATTGGATGCTTTTAATTTTTCCATTGCTTCAAATTACAGATACCCATTTTTGCCATAAATGCGTGAAATTCTTTATCTAGTAATTACACTGGAGCTCGTTATGCAAATTAATATATTTTTGAAGTTTATATCTTGATAATTGAAATTAATCGTTTTGTTTATGCTTATCCAAACCTTTAAGTATGGATATGTCAGTTGCGTAAATTAATAACGTTATTAAAAATATATTTAATAATTATAAATAATAACCTATTGTTATTGTTACGAATTTGATTTGACCACAAACAAGATTTCAACCACATTTCGCTGTATTTGACAATCTCGCAGATCTTATAAATAATGCAAATTGTAGAAAATCCGCAGTCTTATTTCGATAAACAAAATTTTGGCACCGTTAATGCGATAACTATTAAAACTACAAATTAATTGTAATGTATTGAGTAATTTTTATAATATAAGAGCATTGTAAACCGATTTAATGAAATTCCCTTTTCAGATAGATTCGTCATTGAATTTGAGTAATTCCTTCATCATTGATGTACAGGCGCAAGTCATGGATATTGATAGTTACAGCATTTCAAGGCCATTCCATGAAAACGTCAATTATCGACTGCTGCAATCACTTAACGACGAATATGCAAAAAGTAAACCTACGATCTATATTACTAGTCTTTATGTTCAAACAGACCCGACCCAAAATATATTTTATCAAAGTAATCCTAAAATATTTGCAAATAATATTCATTGCTTGTGCAAGCTCAAAATCGAAAACAACAATTTAAAAATGATATATCACTGATACCTTTTCTTGAAACAATATACTAAATAACTATAGAATATCAAATCGATATGAAAATCGAATATTATCTTGAATTATGGAATTATTTTGTATCTCTTTGCGTTCGGAGGAATTTCTTAAAATAGTAAAATTATAAAATATACCAGTATAATAGGAAAGTAGCAAAGTAGCAAAGTAGCAAAGTAGCAAAGTAGCAAAGTAGCAAAGTAGCAAAGTAGCAAAGTAGCAAAGTAGCAAAGTAACAAAGTAACAAACTAGCGAGGTAGCGAGGTAGCGAGGTAGCAAAGTAGCAAAGTAACAAAGTAACAAAGTAACAAACTAGCGAGGTAGCGAGGTAGCAAAGTAACAAAATAGCAAAATAGCCAGATAGCAGAGTATCAAAATATCAAACCACGTTTTTAAAAAGTATAAGGTAATGCAGGATTCATAATAATTACTTTATTTGAATAAAATTTACTATAAGATTAATGCAGATTTTATGAAAGAAAAATGTTCAATCTTGAAAATACCATAATTATGAAAACTCTTATTACATCCCCTGATAGGAGACCTCCAATTCCAAAGGGTTAGATTTTCATCGATATGAAAATGTCCTAATTAACGATTAGATGGAATTTTTTCAAAAAGATCTAGGTCTGTTTGAATATATGTACAGTAATGTCTCTGTAATTGATGCTCAGATTGACCACAAAAATGGACAATTTGGGAAGTGGAGATACGATTATTCGAGCCTTGTGGTTTATTTTTATAGTTATAAATTGTCCACAATTATAAAAATGATCCGCATGGCTCGAATAATCGTATCTCCTCTTCCCAAATTATCCATTTTAGTGGACAATCTGAGCGTCAGTAAGGGAGACATTACTGTATAAGGTAAAAGTTTTGATTCTCTAATCAACCTTGTTTCTCCTATTGACCCTCGTATTCAATAAAACACAATAACTGATTATAAGCTTCTGAAGGCATTAAATCTTTTGCATTTGAATTACTTCTTGTAGGTGCATGTCTGATACGCACGTTGCATGGTGCAATAGGCGATACAGCCTTTAGGAATGGATACAAGAAATTGGTGACTAGGTGGTGGGTACATAATATGCAGAACACTCAATAAATTATAATTTCATTTTTATTGTACACATTATAATATCATTTTGCATATTTGATAGATTCAAATTTCTTATGATATGATAAGAACATAATAGATACAAATTCAATTAAAAGTGAAAGAATATCTCGATTCTTTATTATTACATGCTATATAAATAAAATTCAGATAAAATATCCTAAGTATAGAAAATTTTATTTTAACCCTTTCGGTACGAGCGCGCTGTCCGCCGTGACACTGCCACTGTACGGGGTGCCGCGCCGAAAATGCGCACATAGCACAGGATCAATCCACTTTTGTACGAATCTGTTTCTAATCCGTTTCTAAATCTTTTGTTTCCTGTAAACATTCTGTAAAAGACCTACAATGTGTTAAAATCTATGAACAAGTTTCGAACAAAAATGTAACCTGAAATTTTTTAAATCAATTCAGATCAAACGACAATTATGCCTGTACCTGTTTTTTCGGAATCCTGGTAAGAAAAGACTTTATTAGAATAATTTCTAATATGTCAAAAATATGGTTCACATGGATGCCAGATGTACAATAATGTCTCTCTAATAGATGTTTAGATTTTCCACAAAAATGGACAATTTAGGAAGAGAAATTTTCAATTGTCAACAACTATAAAAACGAGCTGCAAGGCTCGAATAATCGTATCTCCTCTTCTCAAATTGTCCATTTTTGTGCACAATCTGAGCGTCAGTTAGGGAGACATTACTGTATTTGGCACTCCTCCATACCGGTCATCAGATGGATGCCGGATATATCCGGCGCTCGTACCGAAAGGGTTAATAACTTGAAGCACAAAATGCAATATTTTAATCTTACATTTCAAATATATATGTACATCAAATATACATGTATTTCAAAAATATATGCATGTAAAATATTTCGTAACAACAAAATTAATCTAGAAAACAGACAGTATTGTAAATTATGATATGAAACATAATTTTACATTTGCAATTTAAACACAATTATTTGCATGTAACAAAGTATAGCATGTAATATAGATTTGCCGTGACTCGTAGAATAAATTGCTTCTCTCTCGGTTTTGATAGTAATTCAGGACACATATCTGTGAAATATATTTTAATAAACATTGAGAAAGATTATATTATTTATTTAGGAAATTTAACACTACTTACCTCACCGATTTCATGACTGTTATGGCGGAGGAATTGGGACATCCACTATCCTCTGACAGTACCTTGGAAGAATCGATGAATTCATGGATTTATCAAGGCGGATATCCCCTCGTTACTGTCTTAAGAAATTACGAGGAGGATTCTATTACTCTTTATCAGGTAAATGGAGGTTTATTCAAAATGAAATATTTTGAATAAAATATTTCTGTCAATTCTGTTACAAATGATTTAATATTATAGTATTTATACTCAGTAAATATATTCGTAAGAAATATAACTGAATTTTCGAACAAAATTATGAATATATATGTTAAATTTAACAAAGATAATCTTTTGTTAAATTTACGTTGCATTTTTTCAAACTTCAGTAAACATAATTTAAGTGATGAAATTTGAATGTTAACTTCTTTCTAACATTTATTTCAATGATTGAAAGAATTTTATACAATACAAATAGAAAATCATTATTATTATTATTATTCTGTCAAAGGTGCATGGCGTTATGAAATAATCGTATGGTGCATTAATAATTAATCTGTCTTTATATCAGATTTACATGAGACAAAGGATATGTTCAACTATTTTTC